CCCTAGAAAAGTAAATCTCAGGCATTCAGCTCGCAATTTGCTCTTCAGTATTTTAAAAGTCTGTCATTTCTGCTATGTGCATTTTGATGTACAATCACAACTTGTATAACTCACATTTTTTGCTATAGATAACTATGTCAATTCCTAAACTGTATGTTCTCTAATGCCATTATATTCTATTTCGCCTCCCCCTGGTGCATTGGTCAATTATTTTATCCACTTTGCAACATTCACTCTCATTTAGTTAAGCTGGAAGAATCTCAAACTTGTTGGGACATTCGCAAAGGCTGGGGCTCCTGTCCCCTGGGTCCCCTCATCTACTTAGTTATGGTCACATTCTCTTATTCCTGACCACTGCCCAAATCAGACCGCACAATTCAAGGTGTGTACCTGTCACCTGGTACAGAGAATCCAGGTACCTTACCCCCTCCCTGCTGTAGCATCTGTAATTCAGTCTGTAGCTCATAAACATTTAGCCAGATCTGCTCAACCTTCGAGCACTTATGACAAATGTGTTTGCCCTAGATCAAACTGGCATTTAGGAACTCCCACATGCTGCAGTTATGACACAGCACCCCATCCTGCCATCCACAATCTGTTCTAATTAACTACTTATTTAGTTTAAGTAGATATTTACTTTTTTATTTTATTTGAGGAACTTAAGTCGGTTGAGAGAACAATGCCAAGTCAACTGCATAAAATCTAATATTTATCCTAAGGCCATCAAAACAATTTCTATCTCAGAATTCATTCTTCCTTTAAATTTATGTCTATATTCACAGTTTTCTGACAGCTAGTATTAATTATCTATAAATTAATGAACCCATTCTCCCGGCAGCTGACATACTTGGTAAATATTGTTTGCTTAACAATTGTGTTTTGTTTTGACCGAAGTAGACATCAAATGCCTTGATTACTTTGTCATATGCATCTACTTTCTCATTGATCTCTTAACTGACCAGAATATCATCCATACAACCTCCCATTCCACACAAGGCTGTACTGATCAAGTCCCTGTTCGGCTTTGGAGTTAGTCCAAATGGTTTGTAAATCTGCAGCAGCAGCTTATTATTATTCAACCTGGCTTCAGCCGGCAACTTCCTTGAAGCACACTGCTAATGTCAGTGACTGCTCCACTTCCTTTCAGTCTTTTCATGTTGCATTCCACATGGTGTTCGATTGCTGGCTGCTCTTCTTTCCTGTTATCTGCTTACTTCTGCCACCCTGTATTATGATTGCCATCCAGCTCAGAGCTTGGTAAATATAGCAAGAATCTTTTTCTTTCCTTTATTCATTCACGGGATGAGAACATCACTGGCAAGTCAGCATTTATTACTCATCCCTGATTGCCCATAGTGCAGTTAAGAGTCTGTGGGTCTGGAGTCACATGTAGGCCAGACCAGGTAATGATGGCAGTTTCCTTCTCTAAAGGACATTAGTGAACTAGAAGGGTTTTTCCAACAATAAACAACAGATTCACAGTCATCATTAGATTCTTAATTCCAGATATGTACTGAATTCAAATTCCAACATCTGCTGTGACGGGATTCACACCCAGGTCCCTGGGATGTTATCTGGGTTTCTGGATTAACAGTCCAGTGATAATACCTCTAGGCCATTTTCATTTTTATTTCAACATAGTAAATACTAACCAGATAGACTTCACCTTGGTATGACGACATTGTGGCTTTAAGTGGTGTATTTTGTTATGAGTTTTTTTTTGAAGAGATGTTTTAAGACAGAGGCAATGAACTGTCTACCAGAGCCACTAGAGTAAACAGCTTGTGAGGCCTTGGGTTATTTTAAAGTTGGAACAATAGAAGCAACCTGAATGGGTGTGATCAAGCTCCCACAGAACCAGGATTTTCAGTCTATTTTTTTAGTTTTTCAGTAGCAGCAATTGTTGCTGGGATCTCAGCAGTGTTAGAAGCTGCAGTACATCTCTCCTGGCTGCTTCATTGTCTCAGATTTTTCTCTTGATTTTTATTTCCTTCTGGGCTACTGGAGTTGCATATGAGACAATCTATTTTTTTCTGAATTTGTCTTTTGCCAAGGGTGTGTTTATGAAATGTTACTAGATTGGAACAGTTAATTAGTAATAGTTACTATATCTATTATTTTGTTAAGTTTTCCTATAGAGTTGAGTTATTCCAATTCCTTCCTTCCTTTCGTTATCTTTCAATTATAGTGGATGAATAGTGTGTTTTGCTATAAATCCGGTAGTTTGACCAATCGGATTGTAGCTGGAATGCAATACCTTACAATTACCTTTAACCGGCTTCAAACAGCCATGTAATCTTACATCACTTCCCAATGATTATGTGAACTTACTAATTAAAATATTGACACTAACCATTTACACTACAGCTGGCCATGTCAACATTCCATGAAAGAATCATAAAAAGAGCAACAAGAGTTTCCTCAGGGTCTCAAAAGGACAGGTCTGGTCTCTTGTGTTCTCACCCTTGCTTAACCTCCAGGGAAATCCTCCAGAAACCATCTCCTTGTGACTTAACTACTTGCTGGTGAGCTTTTGTTGTTTTCTGGCAGCTTCCAGAAGATCTGCTTCCATTTATCAGCCATGTGCCATACTCCACCCCCGACACCATTTGAGTCAACTATTGCCTTGGTAATGTGTCGATGATGCCTTTCACCTCCTCAACTTTTCAAAACATGATCTGGATTTTAAAGAAACACTACTCTACTGTCCTGCAGATTTACTAATTCTTCCATATAGTCTGGGGGTTTCCTGTCTGAACAAAAACCAAGCCATCATGATTTACATTTAAATGGGACCATAGTTTGGGGGAGCAGGTTATTTGTATCAGCTCCAGTGCTGCTGCTTTATTCAGTTAGAACAAGACAGGATTAAGGAAAATGAAATCCTAATATATCAATGACATTTTTGTGATGTTTGCCTAGACCCTAGGAAAATCATCTCCTCTGACAAGCTGAAGAAGGAGTGAGGCTCCGAAAGCTGTGTTTTCAAATAAACCTTTTGGACTATAACCTGGTGTTCTGTAAGTTTTGATCTTATCCACCCCAGTCCAACACCGGAATCTCCACATCATGGTATTTATTACCGTTATGGAATAATACTCTTCCCTGAACCTTTAGCAACAACATTGATTTTAACGACTATTGCTTTCCTCGATTAAATTCTATGTCACTTTACTCATTCTCTAACTTCAATGTCAAGTGATTAACTATTGCATGATCAAATTTGGGTAGTGAGTTCTAGGATTTGACCCACTGACCATGAAGGATCGGGATCTTATCGGAAATCGGCCAAGTGTCACTTGTGACAGGTTTCATGGGCGGTTTCTTTCTGCGTGCCCTAGTGAGTTTTCTCGCACTATTGTCTCAAATTTGCCTCATTAACTGTACACCATGCCCCATAGCAGCTCACCTGTTGTGTTCTCCCACATGCCATAGGAGGAAATACAGGTAGTTCTCCTATAACACGATAGATGTATTCTTGTGTGACCTCGCGCTATAGAAAATCACATTATAGGGAAATCACTATAGAAAGTTGCTATACCTGTACAGCAGAAAGTTTGCGTTATCCAAACAGTGTCCACTATTTATCAATCATATTACGGCCAATTTGCATTAACAAAATACGCATTATAGCAGGAATACCTGAACTCCCCCTGCCAGGGTATCCCAGGATTCCTGGCACTGGCACAGTATTTAAAAGGCCATTGTGTATCTGATCAAGGACTGTCAGTCTGGAGCTGCCCTTTGTATCATTTGCTCTGGACAGGGCAGATAGGGGAAGATTAGTGTCCCACCATTGCAACCATGACTTGAGTGTCCCAGTGGATGAAGTGGTACAGAGTGGGGCTCTTCTCTTCTCCCAATCTGGCAGAGGAGACCACAGCCACATTGCCAGGCTGGTCAGTCCAGTCTCAATGGCCCAGGGAAACACCCAACATTGTAGGTGGATTTAGATGGAACTTTTCCCCTCACTGGTGATCCTGAAAGTAGGGACATAATCTCAGAATAAGGGGTAGGCCATTTAAGACCAAGATGAGGAAGAATTTCTTCACTCAGAGGGTAAAGAATCTTGGTATTCTCTACGTCAGAGGGCTGGGAAGTTCAATCATTGAGCATGAATAGATTTCTTGATACTAATGACAGGGATATGGGGAAAGTGATCAGAAATGACTTTGAGGCAAAGGATGAGACATGATCTAACTGAATGGCAGAGGAGGCTTATGTTCCTAGATACGAAGTGAATTTGCTAGAGATAGAGAAATCATGTTATTTTAGGTCTAAAAGCAATTTAAAATCATTGTGAATGCAAATTACTAACAGTCAACTTCGTTCAGACTGAAAATCAAAAACTGGGATGTGGAGTCTTAATTCTTTTGGTTTTAATTGTTGTTTGAACAGTTCAAAAACTTGTTAAAAGTGTAAAATTTACTCTTTTAACTTTTTCTTTCTCACTTTCTATCACTTTATTCTTTCTCTTAATCCCATGTACCTTTCCCTCTCTTTCTGTGTATAGTTTTCAATTAATTCACTACTTGAACTTACAGTTCCTTGTCCAATCTTGTGCCCTAACTTCACAACTGTCCATTGTGCTTGATTAAGGACATTGCCACTTGTCGTGTGCATGCAGGTCCTAAATGTCCTGCAGATTTTTAATGTCCCATCTCCATTTTGCATTTTCAGCGAATTGCCTGACAAAATATCATGACAATTAAAAGGGTAAAGATATATCTAACTAATAGCAGCCATCATTTATTGGCCTTGCAGTAGTTTTATGTAATTATTACCTAGATGTCCCATCAGATTTTTACTATGTGTGATATATCAACAAATTGATCATGATACCACCACTAATGCTTGTCAATTTTGCTGTCAAATTAACACACTTTGAACGATTTATTAATCTTTAGAGTTGTACTGTTGCTTTTCAGGATCAAAGCATTGTGAGTACATGTTGAAAAGAAAATTTAAACTGTGCTAGATGAAAGTATCTTAAGAGAAAGATGAAAAAAAATGCAATGAAAAGTCTTTTCAAAAGAGGGCGCAGAGGTAATGCTTATTCAACTGTAGAAAATGCGCACGAATTATCTTCACAGAAGGATGGAAACATATTTAAGGTAAGCATTTGAAATGTAGCATTTAAAGAAAAATGGTATATTATTGTCCACATGAAATATGACAAGTATAATCCGAACTGTTAATTTGGAAATGCACCATTTTGAAATTTAATTTTATCTCTCAGCTCGTTGATGGTGGAGATGTAGCACAGATTGAAAAGTTAGTGGAGGAAGACCTTGACTGTCTCAGCAGAATGGATGAATATAAATCAACCCCACTGCACCATGCTGCTGGAGCAGGTCTCCTTGACATTTTGACATTGATCACTGATCATGCTAACTTTGAAGGTAAGTGCTAATTAAATGATAAAATGCAAGAAAGTGTGCAATGTTTATTCATAATTATAACATAAAGCACACATATGTATAATGGGATATTTTCATAACCGCCCTGTAACTCATTATCTTGTCTTAGTTGAAATCAAGCATGGAATGTTCATCTGTCTCAGATGAGTGGAGCTGTAGTTTTAGCAGCCTCAGTGTTACAGTGAAATACAAAGGTATCCTTTGCTTTAACTCTGTGCCTAGGAACTGAGCATTCCCCAATTGTTAAGATGAAGAAAATTATAGCTAGCCTAGTTAAAGTTATAAAGAACTAAAGCCTCAAATGCCATTGATTTCAGTTCATAGGGAGATAACAAGGATGATTTGGAGCAGCTTTCTCCTAGCACAGAGTTTTGTGTGGTTGGTGGAAGAATTGGAGATTTGGGATTAGTGATCACAAATTTGTTTTGGATTTTCTTCCCTTTGTGTCAGAAGAACATTTAGTTTTCTGAGGTTATGTAAAGGAAAAGCACTACGGGATTTTGGACCGCCACTAGAGTTACTTTATTCTTGGCATTCCAGGGGACCATCAAGGGAACTGTGGAGAATTCTCCAATTGACACTTGTATCAAGTAACATCTCGAGCTCTTCTAATTTTACATTAGGAATAAATTGGAAGGCATTGGGATAAATTTGCAAACAAAAAGTACGATAATGATTAGTAAATACCAGTGTGTCAAGACCAAAACGTCAGAATGGATCATTGCTGACTCCCAGAAATGTCATTCAACATCATAAATTCAATCACCAGTCAATGCTGACTTTATGCAGCAAATGACTAGGACTATCATTGACTGCTATGCTTCAGGGTCAGTGAAATGAAAAACATTTAGGGATCCAGCTATTGCTCACTATCCAGTGGCCCTTACTGAACGTACAGGTGTGGTTATATCTGCTGGTGAGGTGTTCAAAGATGAATCTCCTGTAATATCCTATACTTTGCTCAACTGTCTTCCAGAACCCACAGTCACACAGATAACAAACATTTGGTGGAGGTATTGAAAAAAAAAGCACTGCTCCTTAATAAGAATGTAATTAATTTTAACTGTCCAGAGTAAGAACCAAAATGGCCAATAAAATGCCTGTGTGTGCCCCCACTCATATTAAAATCAATTTAACTTCACTCTATTCCATTCCATTCCACTGGGTGCACTGCTCACTCATGCCATATGCCCCCCACACCCCTCCCTCTCTCTCTTTTTCTCACACACAGACACACTCATATATACAGTTCTTGCTTCAAGTTAAAATTAGTTACAGAACACAGGATTAAAGGAAGAAAAAGATTACAAACTTGGATGTAACACCAGTCAGTGATCAGGAGTTGGCTTATTCCTAACAGATGTGTTTAGTGCTAACAATGTAAGTGCCATAGATGTCACCTTGTAGAAGTGTCACCGTATATTTTCATTTAATCATTTTGCATTACACCTATGCAGCAGTTTGTGTCTGTTCACGCAGCTGTCATCATGTCATTCTTGAGGACGTTTATGTTTGTAACCTATGGAATTTATTACATCTGACATGTTATGCTAAAAAGATTTGTGTCCTCATGCCAATAACTTTATGACTTAAAGTCATTTTGATCTTGAAAGTGTAACATTGAGAACTAGCAAACAATTTGTGAATAGAATTGGCATGCAACTCATTTTGATTCTTGACTGCAAGAAACTCAATGTAAGGAAGACATTCATAGCAGTAATTTCTGGATTATTGTTGATATTGGGTGATGTCATGATGTTAGCGTGCTAGTTTTAGATATTACTGAAGACAAGCTGGTGCACATATCAGCAACCCACCCACCATTTTTAAATCACTGATTATCTTAACTATTGAGCCTATAAAAAGCCAATTTTTACAGAACCTTTAGTTGTCCACTGCATTAGGTATGCATTGAATGGGAAAACATTTGGGAGCTCTTTGTAGGGGAGTTAGACAAAGTGCTCCAAGTGTGAAAGGAAAGGCCTGGTGAAGGTGACAATTATTTCATACTTTTGACTGAATAATTATTTAGAGGTTCCAAATAGAAAAATGAGGAGATTCAGAGAGTAGGAGTCTTTAAATTTGTTGCTGTGTATTTGTTAGCTTCCTGTTTGTCAGCGTAACCCCTCTGCCACATGAGATTGAAGCCCAGTCTCGAGGTTGGATGTGGATCTCCTCCTTCTGTCACTGATTGGGTGTCTACCTGTTAGGCAGCTTGGACATCCAATGTTGGATTTGCTGTTGGCAGACCAGAGACCAAACCAATGACTCACTTTATCTTCTGCCTCTCTTACTCAGCCTAAAACGGTAAACCCAGCCCTAAACTAGAAACAGAGAATGCTGGAGAAACTCAGCTGGCCTGGACTGGAAAATGGTGGCTTTCATGCTGTTGACAGAAGGCAAGGAAGACAGAATTCCCAGAACAAAAGCCAAAGTTAGCACAAATGTTGGTAAAGGAGCGATAGAGGTGTACATGGATGAATATAAAAAGGTGTGAGAAGGATAAAAATGAATCTATTCTGCTGTGATGCAAGTCAACAAGGCACAAATTAGATAAGGCCAGAGGCGATATATGATAAATGGAGGAGGGAGGGCAAACTCTGAAACTCTGGAAATAAATGTTAAGTCCTAGAGGCTGTAGAATGCCTCAGCCTCTTGGACTCAACATTGAGCACCATAACCTCACAGCATGACCTCTGCCCTCCAATTTTCTTATGCCGTCCTCTACCCTGGTTGTGTATTGTTTGTATTTTGTTGAATTTACTCTCGGCAGAGTGAACCTGTTTTCTCTTTTTCACATCTATCATTTGCACCCATTTTACATCTCTGTCCCTCCTTTACCATCATTAGCACTCCCTTTCTCTTTTGCTTTGGACACGCTCATCACCTGTTTTTGTTCCTCTTTCTCCTCTGTCAGTAGCATAGTAAAAAATACACCATTTTTCAGCCCCTTTCAGTCCCGAAGAAAAGTCATATCAGACTTGAAACATTACTTCTGTTTATTTCTTTACCGATGCTGCCAGACTTGTTGAGTTTCTCCAGCACTTCCTGATTTTATTTCATATTTCCAGCATCTGCTGCATTTTGCTTATAAATCTATCTCTAAGTTCTTTTTTAATTTCCAGTTAGTTGGAGGCTGCTTTAACTGTTGACAATGTGATGTTGTGTCATTAGTAAATCTCTTGGGTCTGTCATTTTAGATCATTTTTACAATCAAAATTCCTATTCATACCACCTTCTTTCACAGGGAGTATTATTCCCTTTGAGTGAGAGTATAAAACAGTTGATATCAATTCAGTTGCCCATAATGTATCCCAATTTTTATTTCCAAAATTATTCCCTCACACCCCTTTGTTTACAGGTGGTATTATAGATAAAGTGATTAAAATTTCAATGGAAAATATAAACAAGCAAGTTATCCATGTTTAATGCTGAAATAAGTGTTTGGGAGTCAGTTAGCACAGCTGGTGTCAGTTTGCAATGCAGAGTAATGGGTTTATTTTCCACACCAGCTGAAGTCACTATGACGGGTTCTCCTTAACTTCTCCCATTGCCTGGGGAGTGATGACACTCAGGTTAAATCACCACCAACAGTTTTATCTCTCTCTCCCTCTTCCAGGTACAATGATGACTTTTACCTTTAAGCATTTATATTCCAGAACAATAGGCTGAAGTTCCTTTTCTGCGCTGTATGACTCGATGACTCTACGAATCTGTGACTCTACAAGGTGGAAAATTGGATGGCTAAAGTAGGAAACAGTTTGTGTCTGTGTGCATTAAGATCCTTTTAATTCTAAAATTGCACAGCCATTCCCAGTTGGAGAAACAAGCTAAAATGTATGGATTATAATATGGTCAGATCTGACGTTAGTGAGTTAAATGAAGACAAGACTCCAAAATATTTTCATCGCTGTGAATAAAGTAACTCATACAGAGGCATTTTTGTCTGAATGTTAGTGCAATGAATTGTAAAACTTTTTGGAAAATGGTCCTAGTTAAGTAATTCATCAGCAAATTGAAAATCATTACCCCTAGAGGTATCTAGTTGTTAGCTACACATCATAGCACAGTGATGAAATGATATTAACAGAAATTACATAGCTCAAAGCTGCCCTTCACACCTTTTACAACAGTTCACTAATTGTGCAGCAAAGAAGATATCTATTACATTTTCAGTAGAGGACAAATGTTCTGCAGTCTTTTGAAGAATGATATTGCAAATGATTTGCTGTGACATGAGGGTTTCCTTATTCTAAAAACAACAGCAAGATTAAACGTACATTTGAAGTATGACCATTGATTTATTTATTTTAGAAAACGACAATTTTTTTTTATTTGTTGATGGGATGTAGCCATCATTGTCTTGACGAAAATTTATTGCCCATCTCTTGCTGCCCTTGAGAAGGTGGTGGTGAGCTGTCTTCATGAACTGCTGCAGCTATTTGGTGTGGGTAGACCCACAATGCTGTTAGGAAGGGAGTTTCAGGATTTTGACCCAGTGACAGTGAAGGAACGGCAATGTGTTTTCAAATCAGGATGGTGAGTCACTTGGAGAGGAACTTGCAGGTTTCTCATGTGTCTGCTGCCCATGTCCTTCGAGAGGTCATTGATTTGGAAGGTTCTGTTGAAGTGGTGCGTTCCTGAAGTTCATTTTGTCAATGGTAGACAGTGCTGCTACTGTATGTTGCTGGCAAAAAGCATGGAGAGAGGGTGCCAATCAGCAGGCTACTTTTTGCCAGATGGTGTCAAGCTTCTTGAATGGTGTTGGAGTTGCATCCATCCAGACAAATAGAGAGTATTCCATCACATTCTTAAACTATGCCTTGGAGACTGGAAGTGAAAGACCCACAACAGAACTCCAAGCCTTTGACCTGATCTTGTAGTCGCAGTACAATCCAATTCAGTTTTGTTAGTATTTTAATCGAGACCTCCAAATACCTTTAGTTGTGTTTGTTTATTGGATGCACAAACATTAAGCTAATGGGCGCTCATTCACAGACAAGTCTAGCCATTGTATTCATTCAGGTTACTTACAAAGTGCTTACTGAGAAATACAGTTGGGATAGAATTTCCACTTTACTCACTATTGGCTATCCAGCATTGTTAATTCCTCTGAAACAAAATGGAAAATAGCAGCCTAGACATGAAATTGGATAAGACGCAGGAAACAGAGAAGGTGCCTTCTGTCTGTAAAAATGACCTCGAGCTTCCAGTTCAACATACCACTGTATTCACTGGCCAAATTTGCTGTCTCAGGCCTGCTACAGTACTCCAGTGAGGCACAATGCGAGCTGGAGAAACAACACCTCATCTTCTGCCTAGGTACCTTCAGGACTCAGGATTGAGTTTAACAATTTTACAGCATGACACATCACTCCATGTTCATGATCCACCCCTACAACACCAGGTTACGTCATGACATGGATTGCTTTTAGTACAGCCAATTCATTTTCAATTACTCATAATCCCCATTACCACCAATGTAGCTTATCTTCTCCCCTGGCTTACTATCAACAACTCCTTTGCCTTCCTACCATTTTCTCTCTTTCTCTCTCTCTCTTTGTGCTCCATCTCCACCTATCCACTCACTCCTTCTCCTCCTCATGATCAGCTAAATACCACCTTTTCCTAGCTGAAGAAGAAACTCAAGATGTTAACTCTGTTTCTCTCTCCACAGATGCTGCCAGACTGCCTGAATTTCTCCCACAATTTCTGTTTTTGTTTATTTCATACCTCTTCATACAGTTCTTTTGTTTTATTATAGTGGTAGTGATCGGTTGTCTTTCTGTCTGGACAAAGCTTGTGAGTGTGGTACCCAGAAGTTGTGACTAGGTTCACCACTTTCTTGATGTATACTACAGATTTCATTTGGGTCCAACAGGCACACTTTCAAAACTTGAAAATGTCACAAAACCTGAAAGTCTCATAAGGAGAGAGATGGATCCTGATGTACCAGTTAGTGGAATCAATAGGCAGGGACAGATGAAATATTGATGCAGAGAAGTATGAAGTGATATATTCTGTTAAAGTGGGGAAAATTAAATGAAAGGGTGCAACTCTAAAGCCAAGTGAGATTGGAGAAAACATGTGCAAACCATTGAAGGGGAGGATAGGTTGAGAGAGGGATTCTTTTAAAAAGGCATGAAAGATCCTGCCCTTTATCAATGAAGGCATAAATTACTGAAAAAGAAGCTGTAATGAACCATAAAAAGTCATAGATTTGGCCTCAATTAGAGCATTGGGATGAATATTCCCCTTCTGAGAAGTGTTGGGAAGAGTGAAGAATGAGATGGATTAGCACTAGAGAGATACCTGTCACCTTAGTACTCAAATTCTGGGTGAGAAGAATCCCTTAACCCTGAAATTCCTCACCCCCCAAAATAACTTACCTTCTCATTGGAACATGGCTCCAAAGCCTTCACTAATCTTCTCAAGTTGGCTAGCCTCCAACTGGCTGCCTGAATCATAGAGTCATACATTACAGAAGAGGCAAATGGCGCAAACTCGCCAACCGTGCGGGAGCAAAATGTGCCCAGCTTCTCAACTGGCTTTCCAAATGTTCTGGAATCCGTGGGTTCTCCATCTCCATCAAGTGTTGAAGATACCTCGGAATCTGGGATAGACATGGTGGATGTCGCTGCCTCAACACCTTTGCCACCTGAAGAAAAGAATGAATTTCTTCTGAGATGACCAGGCACAAGCAATAAGTTACTGGGTGTTACATGCTGCCTGTATCAGAGGCAGAGTTGGAGGAACCTGACCCGCTGCTAAAATGTCCTAGAAGGAGCTACAAAAATACTGGCCTATGTCCTCAGACTCAGAGGGGGTGGGATATAGTGATTGTAACAAGGTCAGCCTGTTGGACCTCATAGAATATGAGTTCCCTAATTGGAGCTGTTAATCTGGTCCAATCAGGGAGCCCTGGCTTACTGATATAAACAGGAGTATAAGAGGTTCTGTTCACTCTGAGAGCTGGTTCTTAGGAAGCTGGATCAGTGTCAAGGACTCTCCGCGTGTAAATAAATGATGACTTGGAGACTGGTTATTGGGCTCTGTGGAGTTATTTCATGGAAAAGGTGCAGAAAAAAACCCACAAGAACAGCTCCAGGAGTGAGAAGTCAGCTAATTTGCTTTTGCTGAGAACCAGTAGAGGTTTTATGGGCCAAATGGCCTCCTACTCTATTGAATGATTAGCATCTACATGCAATATGATCAATTTGATCTGGGGATGTGACCAAGTATATGGGCAAGGCCAGCCTCTAGCTTGATGTTTATTTAACCCAGCATTGACTATGATGGAAACTCAAATCGTGCCGAGCATAATTAGTGCTTAAAGTTTCCTGTGTTGGATTGACCAATTGCAGGCAAATTCCACTGAGAATGCTCATACAGCCTAGTGAAAACACCTGCCCTTTATGTACATGTAGAGTTGGGCACACCATCCATCTGTAATTTCATGCGGATTAGAGAACATTAATGACGAATTAATGGTGTACCGCAAAATGAGACATGTCACAATGAGGGCTCTGAAGAGCAGAGTTCTTGAGTGAACTCATATCATTTGAGGGATAATTTCATAATATTCTGCCTGAAGATGGAAGTATGTCTGGTGAAAGACTGCATTGTGTTTTGCTTCTTTTCCAGTTTTAAATGTGATTGATTGTAATGGAAACACACCTTTACACTGGGCTGCAGAGAAAAATCAAACACATTGTACCCAAGCTTTACTTGACAAAGGTGCGAACCCAAATATTCTGAATAATGCACGAATGTCACCTCTCCATTTGGCTGTCTCTTTAAGTTACAATGCAGTGGTAAAGGTAAGAAAAGTTGATTTCTTTTATTATTACAAAACAAAAACAATTGTGATTTATTGTGAGTTGTACAGTGATCTCTTCCCAATGTGACAATCACCCCGACCTATATCTTGTAATTTCCCAAGTGACCTATGCAGTTTCTCAAGTGGCAGAATAGGTAGGTGACTTTTCCTTAGCAACCATGGTGCTCATATTACTGTCCATTTGAAAGAAACACAGGGGTCACTTGCCATGACCCATGCATTGATTTTCCATCTTTTTAATTCATTTCGATAGGTAGAAGATCAAGATGAATTGGCTAATGATCTTCACTGGTGTAATGCAGATAATCAAATGCCTTCTTCCTCGGCTCTGTAATTTTTTCTGTAGGTCCTGTCAAAACCAGTGTTCTATCAATTGCCTCATGCAAACACCTGTAAGATTCACTTATTTAGGAATCAGTATCGTTGGACAGGCTGGCTGATAGGGCCGAGGTGGGTTCAGACAGTGAGAAAGCTTGACGTCAAGTATATAAATTAGGACCAGAATTAGGTCATTCGGTTTCTGAAACCTACTCGCCGTTCAATAAGACCATGGCTAATCTGTTTGTGTTTTGAGTTCCCTTTGCCTCTGGAAATCAAGCTCCACTACTCCTTGACTCAGCACTAAAGTTAAAGATTTTATGAAGTACACAGAGTCCCCCAATTTATCTGATATTCAGATCCAAGTTGATAAAAAGCATCGACTAGGTTTCTGTCCTGAGCAAGAATGACCCAGTACAACAGACACACACATACACACACACACACACACACACACACACACACATTTTCCAACTGCCTTCCTCCTCCCCATTTGTGAAGAAGGGTCCCGACCTGAAACGTCAATTTTCCTGCTCCTTTGATGCTGCCTGGCCTGCTGCGTTCCTCCAGCTCCACACTGTGTTATCTCTGACTCCAGCATTAGCAGTTCTTACTATCTCTGGAAAGACAGTTCAGTTGTTTTTGTTCACAATCCTGATGAATTTTCTGCTGGTCCCAGTATTGTTTCCATCGTCTTTCATGGTTTCTTTCCTAGGTTGGTCAGAGACACAAGGCAGCTGGTGTACTTATACCAAGTCTCTCACTGGTGCCTGATGGACAAATGGTTTCATTACTTCAGGTTTACAGTGAGTTTTGACTCCAAGTTGTTTAATGTTACCTGAGAACCAATCACACAGTTATTGACAGGAAAAAAATCTCTGTTGTTGATAACTGTCATTTGTCCTTAGACCAATCAGCTACTTGTGTCAGCAAAAGCTGCATTAGTACACTAGCCTGGACTCCAAATTGTTTGCAGCTCTGAAATTCCTGCTTCTTCAAACAGTTTTGTATGTGATATATATATGGCATGAGTCTCGGGTAATTTGCTTTTCAAAGTTGCAGCCACTCTTTTAAACACTTATTTTATTAAACAGGCCTTTCTTATTTTGGACCCCAGTTTTTCAAAGCGCAAAACAAAAAGGTATGGTCCTTTCAAATTCCACATTTCAACTTCCCTTGATAACCTTTGGCAACCCGATGTAATTAATATCTATTATCTCTATCCTAAAAATATTCATTGATACCGCCTTCTTAAACAGACAGGTCTAAAGTCACGCAACCATCTGACGGAAAAAAAAGTTCACAAAATCATAAAGTCATATAGTACAGAAGAGGATCTTCAGCCCATCGAGTCTGTACTGATAATAAATATACTACTGCCTACATGAGTCCCACTTTTCCAACCTAGGCCCACAGCCTTGAATGTTATGATTTCTGATCCTCCTAATTTCTTATTTAAATTATTTTCTGCTTCCTTTGTATTCTTCAAGGGCCTTGTTTGATTTCAGTTTCCCAAACTTTATCTTTTTGACTAAACTTTCAATATCTTTTAATAAAAACCGAAAGAACTGCGGATGCTGTAAATCAGGAATAAAAACAAAATTGCTGGAAAAGCTCAGCAGGTCTGGCAGCATCTGTGAAGGAAAAAACAGAGTTAACGTTTTGGGTCCGGTGACCCTTCCTCAGAACTGATGGTGGCTGGGAAAACATCAGTTTATATGCAGAAAATAGGGAGGAGGGTAGGGTAGGGAGTAAATGATAGGATAGAGCCTAAAGAGAGAGAAAGACAGTTGGACAGACAAAGGAGTTGCTAACAATCAGGCTTGGAGGGTGAAAAGTTGTTAATGGGGACTGTTAGTGACTAACAACAGAGGGTGTGTGATGGCATGCTATGTGGTAACAAGGCCTCGTGTGTGGGATAGGGGGCTGGGACATGGGAGAGTTTAGGCCCTAAAATTATTGAACTCGGTATTGAGTCCGGAGGGCTGTAGGGTCCCTAAGCCAAAAATGAGGTGTTGTTCCTCCAACTTATGTTGGGCTTCGCTAGAACACTGTAGCAAGCCAGAGACAGAGATGTTGGTAAGGGAACAGGGTGGTGCATTAAAGTGGCAGGCAGTAGCTGTGTTAAAGTAGCTGTGGGAGTCAGTGGGTTTGTAGTGGAATATATTTTGTGGAATATAGTGTTATATAGTGGAATATCTCTTGTCATCCAAGATTCCTGAATCTTGTTATCCTTATCTTTCATCCTCACAGGAGCATGCTGGTCCTGAACTCTGATCAACCGGCTTTTAAAAGGTTCTCTCATATCAGATGTGCATTTACCCTCAAACAGCCACCCCTAATCTAATTTCTCCCATTCCTACCTAATACTGTTGTAATGAGCCTTCCCTCACTTTAACACTTTCATTCAAGGACCAGGTTAATCCTTATCCCGAACAATCTTTAGACTTATGGAATTATGATCACTGTTCCCAAAATGGTCCCCCAGTGAAACTTCAATTGCCTGGCCAGGCTTGTTCCCTAATACAAGATCTAGTACAGCCCCTTCCTGAGTTGGACTATCTGCCTATTGTTTCAAGAAATCCTTCTGAATGCACCTAGCAAATTCTGTCCCATCTAAGGTCCCTAAGGCACTAAGGCAGTCCCAGTAAATGTTGGGGAATTTAAAATCACTCACTACAACACCCCATTTCTGGAGAAAGGTCCAGACCCAATAGGTCAACTTTCCTGTTCCTCTGATGCTGCCTGACCTGCTCCACACTATGTTATCTCTGACTCCAGCGTCTGCAGTTTTTCCGATCTCTCACTACAACAACCCTATGTTTTTACATTTTTTCCCATGTTCTACTTACACATCTGTTCCTCTAATTCTCACTGGTTATTGGGAGGTCTTTGTATAGCCCCACCATAGTGATGCACCTTTCTTATTCTTAAGTTCTACCACATTGCCTCGCTGGATGAGCCCTCTAAGATGTCCTCTCTTATTATCGCTGGGACACTCTCCTTAATGCAACTCACTCACCCCTTTTACATCCATCTCTATCACACCTGAAACATCTAAATTCTGAAATGTTGAGCTGCCAGCCCTGCTCTTCTCTCAATCAAGTTTCTATAATGGGTGCCACATTGTAGTCCTACATACTAATCCAGGCTCTAAGCTTAGCTGCCTCACCTGTTATACTCCTTGCATTGAAATAAATGTACTTCAGATTACCAGTGTTGCCATGGTACATTAACTTGGCCCTGTCTGTTCATTTTATTAGATTTACATAACACTGACCTTCTCAAGCATACCACTTGCTGATCTACTGCTCTGTTACCCACCCCCAAAATCACTAGTTTAAAGCCACCTGAGTTGTACTCACAGGCCTCCCTGCCAGGATATTGGCGCCCTTCCAAATTAGGTGCAACTTATCTGTCTTCTACTGGTCCCACCTACGCTAGAAGAGATCCCAATGATCCAGATATGTGAAACCCTTGACCCTACAACAACTCTTTAGTCATGCATTCATCTGCATTATTTTGCCAATTCTAGCCTCGCCTGAATGAGATTACAACTCTAGAGATCCTGCTTTTTAACTTCCTACCTAATTACCTAACTTCCCTTTGCAGGACCTCATCCTTCTCCCTGCGTATGTCGTTGGTACCAATACGGACCATGACCTCTGGCTGCTCACCCTCCCCTTTCAGAATATCCTGTGCCCACTCAGGATTAAGATCAGATGATGTTACAAATGAAAAGGAGTTAAACTTATAGCAGTTACAAAGTCACCTGATAAATAATGCGCCAGATGCATCTCCTTTTCAAGCACTTCATTGTGGGCAAATAGAAGAAGCTTGGAGTTGATTGAATGTTTTTAACCATGCATCAAGATATCGCGCTACAGGATAGTTTTCAAATTCACATAAATTGCCCCATGTCCAGATATACTTTATTTTAATGCTAGTTTATTATCTCCTTCAATGTCCAAGTCAGAAACGTACAGTGTCCTGCTATTCTCACCATATTTCTTCATACTACTCTAGTGGAAGAGCTTATATCTCTGAATGTAGACTAAATATGTTTCGGAAATATCTGTTTCAATCAGATGAAGCACTAGTCATGTGATCACAATTTCTTTGAGTACTTGGCTATATAATGAGCTAATCATTTGGTTTCAAGTGATTTATTTTTAACTTAATGGTATTTCTGCAAAGAATTCTGTCCTTTGGGATAGTGCTATTCAGTTAGAATGCCTCATTTCCCCTTCCTTTAGTATAATTAGGCATTTACTTGGATGCTTGAAGCTATAGAGAAGCATCATTTAATTATATGTGCCACAGTTGAGTATGACTTGCCTGTTCCCATTTTCTCTATAATGTCCAATCAATAGAAAACTTGAGGTATTCCGAAAAGAACAAATGATTGCGCGGTTAGTGCATTTGCAATTATTCTGGTTTATTCTGATGGAAATATTTGCATCATTTTAAAGGTTAGATCTTGACTTTCTGTGATAATTTATGATGTGTGCTTGGAGTTGGTGGACTATTTTAAGACAGACTGACTATTGACTATCTTTTGTTTTACACTATCTTCTAAGTTCAGTTTTACTGCTCAGAATTTCATGTATGATCTTTTGAATTGTCTTTTGCCAAATTATCGAATCCTCTAGGTATTAGCCTCACATAAGACTACAGAGCTAAACTTGGAAGGTGATCTTCGAAATACACCATTGATGTTGGCATGTTCCAGAGATAATGCTGAAGGACTTTCTATATTGGTATGCATTCTAATTTTATCAACACTACATTTGTCTTAGTCTTTTTATGCATAAACATAAGTGGATAACAATAGTAAAAATATATTTTTCTGTTTGACATTCTGCAATTAAAGGCAAAGAGTCATAGAGATGTACAGCTTGGAAACAGACCCTTCAGTCCAACTCGCCCATGCTAACGAGATATCCTAAATTAATCTAGTACCATCTGTCAGTATTTGGCTTATATCCCTCTAAACCCTTCCTATTCATGTACCCATCCAGATGCCTTTTAAATGCTGTAATTGTAACAGCCTCCACCACTTCCTATGGCAGCTCTTTCCATACACACACCACCCTCTGTGTGAAAAAGTTGCTCCTGAGTACCTTGAAAAGGAAGTCTGAAAAACTATACCGTTAGGACTGTTGTGCCCCTAGGAAGAGAGAGGTCAAGGAGGCCTTGCTGATCAGAATCATAACCATGAAACTTGAAGGTGAAACCTGTTATTGGAAAGGACTCCTGACCTACCATGTGTGATAAAAGTACAGAACATAGTGAAACAATGCTACTACATTGGTACAAAGAGTATTGTGAATGTTTGGGATCTTTGTTATATCAAGTATTTAGAGTTGATTTTATAATTGTATTTGAAGTATTCATCTATTAATTCATTTCTAATTTGCATATGTTCTCAAACATGTTAAAGTAAAAGTTGCAAAAAGTGTAAACTTTCTAATAATTTCTTAATATGGGGGTCATTCAGTAAATTTGGTTATTTTTGTTTGTGGTTCTTCTTGGGGCACCATAGGAAGCTTTCTTTTAGGATAATAAGAAATACTGGTCTCTGTGACACAGGAATCTTTGACCTGGAAGCAGTACCAGCAGAAAGGAAATTAAGAGAGAAGCTATATGGCCAGACACAAGGGACAGCTATAAGCAAAGGAGGTGGATAAAGGACGTGATAAGCACATACCTCCACAAAGTATGTGTAGAGGATATATTGAGGATTGTATGCTGGAGGAGATTAGAGAGAAGGGAGGAGCAAAGCCATTCAGGGACTTGAAACCAAGGATAAGAATTTTAAAATTAACACATTCTTTGCAGCAAGCACAGGAGCAAGGGGACCAGGTGCAAGTAACAACATGGACATCAGACACCCATTTCTTAAAGATCATCATTCTGTTATGAATGTGAGACTTTATAAGACAATTATGTTTTAAACTGTCTTTTGTAAGTTAAAACATTTGGAGCATTATTGTTTAAAAAATGTTCAACATTCAAAATAAATTTGAATCTAGCCCAGGCCAGGAGGTTGAAGGTATCCCTAATTTGTCACAACATTCATAATTGAAAATATGTCATGATAGTGCAAATGGGGGTGGTACACTAAGTGTGGGAGGTCAAGATACTGTAACTTTGTGAGGCATAGTGAACAGTCCATGCTGGATTTGACCTGAGAGTGCTGGATGCTAATAAAATTATACATAATGATGGATTAAATTATACAGTGAAATTTGCCTGAGAGCCATGCTAAGCATTATTCTGCTGAAACACCTACACCTCTGCTTGTTTGCCAGCTCTGGCTGACCTCTACCATCAATATCACAATGTTTCATGTACTTGCAGTTTCAGCTGTTGAAACTTTAATGGGTCTGTAGAATTGACACTTTTATGGTGCTATATTAGAAAGGAATTTTATTTATCATAGGAAGTTTTTAATAAATGACTCTTTTTAAAAACTTTATAAAGAAATATATATGTATATTATGCTATCATTCGAGGATTCATTGCATAAAAGCAATATATGGCAGGTGAATGGGATTATGGGGTTTGTCTGGGTGTATGACATTGCATGGATCAGCATGTGTTGAGCACTGGGGGCTGAAAGAAAGTGAGTTGTGAGGGCTGTAAACAAATTCAGTTTCTATTCTGACTGGGATGAGGTTCCACAGAACAAAACCTTTTATCCAGCCCTGTTGTGGCTTCTAAAGCTAGGTCAGCTGCTTGTTTTCTGTTAGCACCTTCAACCCCTCCCAAAACACAAGGATGAAAATCCCACTTTTCCTGCTACTTTCCTTCCAAGCACTAAGGCTAAGCCTGGAATTTTACCAACTCCTGCTACCTATCTTGAGGGTGAAAAAAAAGGCCTTAGTACCTGATTGAGAGACACAGTATCAGGGAGAGGATGACCCTGCTGAGAGCTACCTTGCTGTTCTTATTGTCCTCATCCCTCCCATCTCCCCCCCTCCTCATTCCCAACACTTAATCTAACATTTTCCCCACTACTGATGTTAGGCTTATTGTTCTGTAATTCTTTGTTTTATTCTCTCCCTTCATTTTTAAATGGTGAGATTGCATTTTCCATCCTCCAAATTGTAGGAATTATTCAAGAGTCTGTAGAATTTTGGAACATAACCACCAATGCAATATTTCCAGGGCCATTTCCCTTAGTATCCTGAGATGCAGTTTATCTGGCCCTGTGGATTTGCCAGCTTTTAATCCTATTAATTTCTCCAGCACCATTTTCTTACTGTTTTGGATTTCCTTCAGTCCTGCCCTCTCACATTTCTGCAGGTTATTTGTAACTTCTTCTGTGAAGATTGAACCAAAGAATGTGAATATATTGAAGAAGTTGGGACTGTTTTCTTTGGAGATGCTAGGGAGCAGATTGATTGAGGTTTTCCAAATCATGAGGGGTTTGGAGCATGTAGACAGAGATAAATCTGCTCTACTCCTGAAAGGATTGAGAACAAGAGGGCATGGCTTTCAGGAAACTGGGGAAAGAAGCAATGGACAGAAACATTTTCAAGTCATGAATGGCTATGACATGGAATGAGCTGCCTGAAATCTGGTGGAAGTTCACTGGAAGTGTTTGAGGTGGAAATAACTTGTTATCTGAAACTGGAATGTGGGTGTTGAAGGGTGGGCCTGCATTTATTCTCATTCATAGTTGATCTCGACAATATGCGGGGATATAGGAGAAATCAGACGAATGGCACCAGACAAATTGCTCATTTGAAAAGTCAGCATAAACATGATGGGCTAAATTGCCCTCCTGTGATGTAGGAACTCTGTAATTTGAGGGAAGGTCTGCTGCTGACTCTTGAGCTACAGGTTGATGTTATTTTAGTAATGAATCGAATTGACTTAGCTTTATTGTCACATGTATTCAAATGAGTACAGTGAAAAGTTTATAAGTCACCACTTCCAGCACGACCTTAGGTACAGAGTGCCTTGGTACAATCCTTAGTTACAGAATAGAGAAATAAAGAAAAAAGTTACATTACAACTGTACACAGCATAACCATAGGTCAGAAAAAAAGAAGTAAAGTTAAAAGACAAACATCACATTCTCTCTTATGGTCGGTGTGAACTGTCTGGACCGAAGGGTCTGCTTCCATGCTGTATGACTCTATGACTCAATGGCTATGAGGTTGAATGTGTGGTGTATCTGTGTGCAGGAATGTTCCTTGGAACTGTGAATTTTGAGAGGGAGAGAGAAGGTTTCTAATTCTTTACTATTTGGATTTGGCACTGTCTGCCTTTCCTTCAATAGAACAGTATTTGGACTTCTGTATATATTTCTCCCTTTGTCCTCCCTTAGTCAAAACTTCTCTCTGAGGATGTTTTCCTTGGAGTCAATTGTGGGAATTCTGCACGTTAACATGACTGTGCAATCAACTCTATACAATTTCAAGTTGTAAAAGTGTGTATTTTAGTCTGATGAATAATGTTTCCAACTGTGAGGGTTGATTAGTCCATAGCTCTGGGGCTGGATTCATGTATTGTTTTTAAGCTGAGGCAATCAGCTTTCCAAATTCTGTAATTCTCAATTTGAATGGCTCTCTCTCTCTAATATCTGCTTTGCAACTTATAAGAATCTGTTGTATTGCCGAGGCTAGGTGCATTCTAAATGTCTCTCTATTGTAATTTTATATTGAGTAATGGTCTGATAAAACTTTGAATCATTCCACTATAAAAAATGTCGTCTTGTGATTCTCGCCTTGAAGAAACTTTTTAAACTTAATTTCTAACATGCAAATTCTGTATGCAAAAAATTTGTTTTACCTTTTTATATTTAAACCTATGATATGAAGTGTACATTTGTAATAGCCTCAAGTCTGTTTTTCCACACTGCTGCTCAATTCCCATTTACTTTATGCTTTCTTAATCCTGACCAGGGATTAGGGGAGGCGATGGCCTAGTGGTATTATTGCTGGACTGTTAATCCAGAGGCTAGACAACATTGTGAGGACCCAGGTTTGAATCCTGCCATGGCACATGATGGAATTTGAATTCAATAAATATCTGGAATTAAGAATCTAATGATGACCGTGAATCCATTGTCCATTATTGATTGTCAGGAAAAACCCACCTGGTTCACTAATGTCTTTTAGGGAAGGAAACTGCCATCCTTACTTGGTCTGACCTACATGTGACTCCAGACCCACAGCAATGTGGTTGACTCTTAACTGCCCCCTGGGCAATTAGGGATGGGCAGTAAATGCTGCCTAGCCAGCGATGCCCTCATCCTGTGAATGAATAGAGGAAGGAAAGGATCTAACCCAATAACTTTTGAAATGAATTTATGGACTTTGCTTCAGTAATGATTGTGTCTGGTAATTGCATGTTTGAACCATTTTCTATGTAAAGATTGTTACTACTGTTTTCATTAATTCTTCTTGAGATTAATCAAAATTGTGACTATTTTATCTCCCTGTGAAAATGATCTGTCTGTACTCAAGCAATCACAATCCTCTTTAATGCACTATAATTTTAAAGGAATCTATCCAGTTGCTGTTTACTTTCATAGTAAGGTTTTGCTGTAGTGTAGCAAAACTCCTGACTTTTAAAGTTTCTGTGTGTCAGCTCTCATATTTGGTCCCACGCTAGTAAATCTGTGTCTTACCACATTAAGTGTTTTTATATATTTTCTCTAATATAGCCTTCAAAATTGTACATGATAAATTGGGATTGGTTTGTTCAGTTGGCTGGAGGGCTGGTTTGCTGTGCAGAGTGATGC